TAATTTGTGAGCCATTTTCTTAGATTATGAAAAAAAAATCCTTTCCATGTCTATTAGGAGAATGTATTTTAATTAATCTCCACAATTTATTTTCATAAAGAAATCAATTACTAACAGTTTACTGTCACGTTCTTTATGCACTAAATAATCTTCAAATAAACCTTCTCTGTTAAAAACAGCTTTTCTACCTGCTTGTGCACCAGACGAGAACATCTTTCCACTTATGTCTCATTGTTTCTTCTCTCAAACTTTCCCATTTAGTTTCATAAAATACATTAAATGTCAAAACGTGATTGGAAAATGATGGCTTCGGCTTTATGAGCTCTGTGGAGCCCGCGGGCATTAAGAGAGAGAAGCATAAGAAATATTAGAACAGAGTAAATTATCTCAATCATTTATTAGTGTGTTCCTCCAGAGCCCCCTAGTGTTCCTCGGCACCGCGGGCGCCCTCCGGACCTCCCCAGTGTGGTCTGCTTCTGGCACCACGGACGTCCTCCGGACCTCCCCCATGGGGTCTGGCTCGGGCGCCGAGGACGCCCACCGGACCTGCCTCGACACCTCCGCCCACTTTGTGGGAAGTTTTCTGTTTAGTTTTGGACTCTGGCCCTCCTTCCGTCACCCCTCCGCCCACCCTGGTTTTTGTGCTTTTGAACTTGTTTTTTCTTTGGGCGTCTGGTAGCCGCCCTTTAAGGGGGGGTACTATTGTGTTCTGTGTTTCTCTGTGTCCTGTGTTCTCCTCGTTGTCCTGTCTTCCCCTTGATTGTTCCCAGGTGTGTCTTGTTCCCTTGATTACCCTCAGTGTATTTAGTCCCTCCTGTGTCCTTTGTCCCTCGTCGGGTCCTTGTCGTTGCTTGTCGCACTTGTTTGTGTTTTTGCCACCTGTATGACCAGTTGCTACCGGCGTTGAGCCCTGGCTTCCACTCAGCCGTGCTGCCTGGCCGCGGACTACGTCTGTGACTGTTTGTTGTTCTCGGACTATTTTGGCTTTATTAAATGCTCACCATTCACCTACCTGGGTCTCCGGCGTCTGCCTCACCACCACCACACCACATGACAGGAGCATTCGAAGTGAACACTTTTAGGCTGTCATTGTCTTTTCAATGAGGTCAGCTGTGGCTCAACAAAATAATCTACTGGTTTGTGACTGAGGTTACAAATGTGAGGTTATGACGGTAAAAAGCCGACTGTGGATCCAGAGTAAATGTACTTTGAGTGGTCAGAATGAGAAGAAAGGGTTTAGGGTGAGTCTTATGACTATCAGGATCCTGGGTTGTGAGGTTGTTTTATAGTTTTAGTTCATTCCAGTTTAATTATTTTGTGTCACTTTCTTATTTTGTTTAGCTCTGTCTTGACCTTATTTTCCTTTTGTTCAGTTCTTCAAAGTGTTTTCACTTATTTTTATTGCCTACAGTTTCAAGTTATAAAACTACTTGTGCTCAGGTAATCTATTCTAAGACAAACTAGTTTGAAAGGACAAAAATTAGGCCATTTCATCTGTCAGTCAAATCTTTATTTATGATAAAGAATCAAACTTAATATCAGTGTACACTGTATGTTTCACACAAATATTTCCCGTTGAGTTCCACTCATGACTATTGATACACTGTTAAAAAGTCATTGTGAGATTCAACAATTTCATTAAGTATGAACACCTAAATATGTCTGTCATATATATGTTAAGGATCTGTGAAAAGCTTATTAGACTGTGGATGAACTCCATCAGGACAAACAGAGCAAGACTGAGTGATGACAGCAGTCTGAATGCACTAATCTGGATTAAGTAATAAAAATGCTGAAGTCATAACTAGATGACTCAGCAAGCTGCCTGATGGATGATCTTTCTACAGCTGACAGATGATGTCAGCGTCCAGTGAACAGTCTGCTGTCACTCTCCAGGCGCCGTCCTCCGCTGCCATGCTGCAGCCTCTGTCCCTAATGCTTCCATCCGGCTGTCCTTCTCCCCATTTGGTGAAGGTCAGAGGTCGATTTTTCATGTCAGACTGGAAGTTCCCTTCTGCTTTTCTCACGTTGACGTTGATCCAGGCTCTTTTCTCATCTTGACCCATCAGCTGACGCAGCATGTGGTTCTCCTCCTCACTCTGGGCAGAGCCAGCTCCAGGCCTCGTTGCTGGCAGAAATCTGCAGCCTTCTGGAAAGATCCTCTCTCCTTGTTGGACACAAAGTATTTCTGACCCACCTTCCGCACAAAGTCAAAACCTGTAACTACAAAAATTTAGGGAAAATCAGCCGGTTACTGTCCTAATCAAGGAATCACCTGATTATTGATCCTCTATTAACTCTGCTGCATAGATGTATAGATGTTTTTCATACATGGACCGAAAATAAGGAAAACGCCAAATCAGACATGGAGAAAGACATTAGATCCTCAGAAGCCGTAGTAAAGCTTTTCTGGTCCAATTCTCGGCAGAACTGCACTGAATAGAAAACCCACCAAGGTCCAGCTTAGCGGTGATCTTCATCAGTCCTTCAACTTCACGTGTGAAAGAATCAAAGAGCTCTGGATACAAAAGAACAAGTTTGGTTACAAAAGTTAATTTGGCAGCAGCTCAGAAATATTTTCTACTAGTTTTCTCTTCTCTACAGTTATATCAACAGTGAAAAACACCAGAGTCTTGGATTTAAAAGTTTTGACATGGTGTGTTAAAAGATAAGAAACATTTTACTGCTCAACTATTGTGGTGAAGATTCAGTGAACGTAATTTTATCATAACTTCATTATTTAAATAAGTTTCAGTAAACAATCACCTCGTCCACACACGGTGACGGGTCCAGGTCGTCCAGTTGCTCCTGTGAGTCCAGGATTTCCTGAATCCAAACAGTAGATGAAGAAATCTTCATTGGTCATAAATAAAAAAATGGCTGCAGAATTTTTTATTGCTCTTCTCATTCTACAGATTTTTTGTTCCATTTTTAGCTCTTCAGAAAAACTTTACTTTGGTGTGTGAACTTATACCTTTTCGTCCAGCTGGTCCAGGAAATCCAAAATCTCCTGATTCTCCCTTACTTCCTAAATCCAAAAAGATGAAGCAATCTTCAATGGTCATGAAAAAAATGAAGAATTTGACTACAGTATTTTTCATTGCTCTTCACTTTCTACAGACTTTTTGTTCTATTTTTAGCTCTTCAGAAAAACTCTTTCATTGCTTTGTTAGCTGATACCCTTTGGTCCAGGAGATCCAGGTGCTCCAGGCAATCCAGGAGGTCCAGGAGGTCCAGATGGTCCAGAAAATCCAGGAAATCCTCTGTCACCTTTCTCACCAGGGGGACCCGGCAGCTGACTGAGGCTCATGGGAAGCATCAGACAGAAAACACAGAAGAGAAAACAAAGCCTCATCTTCTCAGTGAAGTGTTGGATACTGTAAAAAATGAGTTAAGTTTCATACTAAGTTTGAACGATAATTTTCTCAACAGAAAAGACGCTGTCTTTTATCAGTCCACACACATTTACACATTTAATCCTGTTAAAGATGAAGTTTACAGTCAGTCACATTGTGTCACGTCTTTCCAAGATGAACATCAGAAATGTTGAAAAGTATTGTAGAAGTCACCAGTAAATGAGATTGTGAATGTGCTTTTTTTCTTTATTGAAAATTATTAACAAGGTACAAGTGTTGTTCTAGGTTTAAACATGCAAGGGTAATTTAAAAAAGAAACTGCGCAATGATGAAAAAAATGAATCAAAAAACTCACCGTCAGAATGTGATCGTCCACAACGTGCTGCTGCTTTGCCGTTCAAAAGCCTTCTGATGTGAATGAAGATTTAGAAACATGAGATCCGGCCCAGAGGAAATGGTAGCTAGTCTGGAATGATAAACAACATACAAGACAAGCAGAGAGATCCTGTTGTCCTGACAAAATGTCATTTTATTGTAAAGCTGCAGCACATCCTGGATGATCACACTTTTACATTGAGTTCTTGTTAGTTTTCTATCTTTTTACAGTTTTTGGTCGACATCATTCGTGCAGGACTTCCTGGACCACCTGGAATCTCAGGCCACAGCTCATCAAGTAGACACATTTTAGTCAGAGAAAAAACTATAATTTGGAGAAGGATAAGAGAAATAATAATAATAATAAAAAAGGCCTGCAGCCAGACTCTTCCCTTAAATCAACCTGCCCAATAAAGATTTCTTCATGTTTTTTGTACTGAGTTCTCTGGACCACCTGGACCCGTCACCGTGTGCGGACGAGGTGAGGGATATTTCCTGAAACTAATAAAATACTGATCTGTCAAAACTACCAATTCACCCAGAGGAAAGCTACATGAGGAAAACCATGGAGGGTGAATATGCAGAGAGCCGAGGCCACGATGAAGAAAGTTTTCTGTTATGATGTGACAGCAGCGCTAATCACAACCTCTGTGATTGTCGGGTCTGGTGTGTATCCAGGTAAATAGAAGTGGGAAAAAATATCCATCAAATGTACTTCTGTATATTTTGCCATAAAGCCAGAAATATGTCACTTTGCATCAAATGTCACCAAACAGACTGGGACTGTGTAGTAAAGACATCTTGATACAATACACTTTCAACATACAGTATTACCAAATATTCATGTAAACAAAAGGCCAGCAGGACACTGCCGCTAAATATTCCCAAACAGTTCGGACGTGTTGGTTTGTGAAAAACCCATTTGGAAACCCAATTGAAAAAAATTCTTTCAATTGTCTGAGCTAAATATAAGAGTGCTCAGGGTCTCTCAAAGTATTATTTTTTTATTTTTATATTTTTTTTTACAAATTGTACTCCAATAGTTAAACTCTGAATGGATAGAAGTGAAAATTTTAAGTCTACCTAAAAACACTTTAATGAATATTTGAGAGCAACTTTGGGAGCCTGAAGGAAACTGGGTCCTGAAAGACCATCTGTCCATTTTGTTTAGAGCAGAATCACATTGGTCTGATCACAGAAACTCTCTGCTGGTCTTCTGTTTATCATTCTTTAGTAAGTGTCACTTCCTCTGGGCTGGAGCTAAACTTTCTGACTGCAAAATCTTCATCCACATCAGTAGATTTTTGAACTGAAAAGCAGCAACACTTTCTGGATGATCACATTTTGACAGTGAGTTGTTGTTTTTTTGACCTTGTTTTATCAGACTTTCTTCGTCCTTCTATCATTGTGCAGGTTTTGTTTGACATTGTCATGCATGTTTAAAACCTGGGATAGTTTTACTTTTTGTTGTACGTTTTGCTACATGTAATAGAAGAAATCTCTTGCAGAATCTCATTTGCTGGTAGTTTTACGACACTTTCCAGCCTCTCTGACCGCTGTCTTGTGAACAACAGAATGTAACTACTGTAAATTTCTCCTTTAAGAATTATTATTGATGGCTGAATTGATAATATATTACTGATGTTTGATTTAAAAAGACATATCATAGAAACAAAGTAAGAAAAATTACCAAAAGCTGTTTTCTTTTCACAGGATCCAACGATACGTTGAGAAGATGAGGATTTGTTTTCTCTTCTGTATTTTCCGCCTGATGAGCCACAGCGTTAATGTTAAAGGTGACAGAGGACCACCTGGACCACCAGGACCACCTGGACCACCTGGACCACCTGGACTGCCAGGACCAAGTGGACTTGTTATCCCAGGTAGCAGCTCAAAAAAGGAAAGTTTTACTGAAAACCCAAAGATAAAACAAAAACTATTTGGAGGACAGGGAAAATAAAAAAAAAAGCTACTGTAACCAAATTGTTCTTCCAAAACAACATGAACAATAAACTTTTCTGTTTTTCGTACTGAGGGGGCATTGCACAACCTGGACCACGTGGACCACCTGGACGAGATGGAATAGATGGACCAAGAGGACCACGTGGATACCCCGGACTGCCTGGACCTGTTGTTGTATGTGGACAAGGTGGTGGAAACTGACTTGAATAAATGAAGTTATGGTGACTTTACATTACCTGAATCTTCAACACAGTAGTAGAACAGAACCAAATCACCTATTAAAGCAAAACTGATATTTTTCACTGCTATGCCATGTAAATTATTAGAGGAATTATATAGTAAATAACATTTAACTATAGAGGAGACAAAACTAGAGAAAAATATTTCTGAATTACAGCCAAATGAACTTTGGTAACCAAATTTGTTGTGTTTTATCCAGAACTCTTTAAATCTTTCACGCAAGATGTTGAAGGACTGATGAAGATCACCGCTAAGCTGGACCTTGGTGGGTTTTCTATTCAATTCTCATCAGCCAATAATTCAACCAGCAAAAGATTCATAAGAGTTTCTGATCTATTGAAAATGTGTGAGTTTACACATTTTCTGTCCATGTATGACAAGCATTTGAATCTCTAAGCAGCAAAGTTAATAGAAGATCAAAAGCAGGGACTCGGAGGACATTACCACGATTATTTAAGTGTTTCAAACATTCTGATCTTTTACCTCAAATTTTCTGCATGTTTTTCCAGCTATGACCTTTGACTTTGTGAGGAAGGTGGGTCAGAAATACTTTGTGTCCAACAAGGAGAGAGGATCTTTCCAGAAGGCTGCAGATTTCTGCCAGCAACGAGGCCTGGAGCTGGCTCTGCCCCAGAGTGAGGAGGAGAACCACATGCTGCGTCAGCTGATGGGTCAAGATGAGAAAAGAGCCTGGATCAACGTCAACGTGAGAAAAGCAGAAGGGAACTTCCGGTCCGACATGAAAAATCGACCTCTGACCTTCTCCAAATGGGGAGAAAGACAGCCGGATGGAGGCATTCGGGACAGCGGCTGCAGCATGGCAGCGGAGGACGGCGTCTGGAGAGTGACAGCAGACTGTTCACTGGACGCTGACATCATCTGTCAGCTGTAGAAAGATCATCCACCAGGAAGGAAGCACCACCCGAAAGAAATCAGTTTATTGTTTGCTTTCTTTTGACATTGTTGGGTCTTTTTTTATAATTTGCAACCATTTCTTTACTTATCCTGTATGTTCTTAAGAGACCAGACCTGCATTGTATATTAGCTCAGACTATAAATGCTCAAGTGCTCAGCATTGGTCATACCTAACACTTGAACAAGTAAACTAATAAACGAGACAGAAATGAGTGGCATGTGTGTTTATCACTAGGAGGAAACTGAGGGGAACTTGAAAGTACGCCGGAGAAAAAACCCTGAAACCTTCATACTGTGAGCTGAGAGCACCACTAATCCTGACTGCTTGTGTGATCACTTGATACAATATACGTCAGTCTTTTGTCTATGTATTCCTTTTTAATGTTTTGACTATTGTCGATCTAAGAATAAGATTTTGTCAAAAGTTAAACAGGATTTTGACAATTAGGAAACAATGAAAATAAGGCAGGAAATCGGAATAAATTAAGACATCCTCAAAAGTTCCCTGAATGTTGAATTCAATGCTTCATCTGCTGCCAGTTAAGCTGGAGTTTTGTCAACCAGTTCCTGCCACACAGTTATGCACCACGTCCCCCCGACAACCACGGGGGGCAAACCCGCAGCTGGTTCTTCATAGGCCGCATTTGGTACAAGCTGTTCCAAAACACAAACACGTCCTCCGCTGTAAGCTTGGAGCTTCATTTAGCCGTCCGCAAAGGCAGGTGTGTGGACGTTTTCCAAGTACGGAGGATGTGAAATGACACTTTTTTCTGCTCCTGCGTCAATTTCCATTGACAATATTGATTGCTATTGACAATCAACATTGTCAATAGCAAATGTTGCTTTATATCGTTCATCATCCGCAGCACTAACAGTCAAAATGGCTAACTTTTCCTCAGCTGTCGCAAACGTCTCTACTGCTCCTGCTTGGTTCTCTCTTTCCATGACTCTTCTGCACTTCAGTCCGACATGCTAAAGTGCAAAGGTACTTATGAATATTTACATCATCAGGAATGTCGTTGCTAATATCAACATTTGTTCCTCTGTCCGACATGAAGTTCTCAAAAGCGTATGGTGTGATTTTGCTTTCCTATATAATGCAATGAAATCTAAAAAAACTGAACCTAAAAAGTGAAATAGAAAAAATCTCTGAGCCACTCCTGATCAAGGCTTCAAAGCTCAATTGTGTTTGGTGATTTTGCTAAATTTGTTAAGAACATAAAGTCTGTCATCTTGTGACACGACGAATTAAATGTCTTACTGCTAAAAAAGATGTAGAGAAGTGAATGAACTTGCTTTTAGAGCGTGAAAGCGCTCAGCAGAATCACTTTGGTCTGATCACAGAAACTCTGCTGGTCTTCTGTGTGTTGTTTATCATTCTTTAGTAAGTGTCACTTCCTCTGGGCTGGAGCTAAACTTTCTGACTGCAAAATCTTCATCCACATCAGTAGATTTTTGAACTGAAAAGCAGCAACACTTTCTGGATGATCACATTTTGACAGTGAGAGTTGTTTTTTTTGACCTTGTTTTATCAGACTTTCTTCGTCCTTCTATCATTGTGCAGGTTTTGTTTGACATTTTCATGCATGTTTAAAACCT